GGTCTCACTGAACAGAAGATTAGCAGTTTATTTTCGCAGTTAGTGTATCACTACGCTTGTTCGTTGCTTTACAAATTAATTAAAACCAACTTTGCGAAAATCAGAGAACGGAGCAGTAAACGAGAAAATCACATTACCTCCTACGAGTAAATTCTACCAACTACGTCTAGTAAAGAAGCGGACGACATAGAAACCGTATATAACAGTGCATACATGTTTGCTAACAAGTGGTTATAGGATATGGTGTTTGTCTGCACAGATTTTCCGAACGGCAACCTGCAAGATTAATTTTTCTTGCTTGTGACACACACCGCTTGATAAAGCAAGAACACAGTAGATTTATCCTCAAAATTAAATGTGGAAACCAACAAACGGATTATTTTATCATATATGACAGACATCAGAAATCGCAACAGGATTGTTGAGGTCATTGCAATAGGAGCTGATCGCGAGCCAGTGAAATCACTCCATTTATTCTCAACTAAACCAAAAGATGAAATGAGAAAAGACAATAAGCTAAATACCGTCTGCAAGTAAACCGCTCAGACTGCGAGAAAAATTAAATTGGATAATACGGCCGCTCACATTATGTTCGTCCATATGAAGACCAGTTGATTATCAAACACCACAACACATCTTAATTTATATCGGTGGACGTAATCAACCGTAGATACATCTCTAACTGGAAGGACCATAGTGTCTTGAACAACGACGACACAAATAATATTTCTTGACTTCTAGAAACTTTGTACTCAAGTCACTCGAAATTTAATAAACTCACTAAAATTGGCCCAAATTATCAATCAATTTGAAAAATTATAAATAACTGTAAATCCAAAAGTCAAGACAAGGGAGAAAATAATCAAAATAAGTGTGATAAATGATAGAATGGATATTAGCAAACACTAAACAAGCTTAAGGTTGACGAAATAAGCTTTTAGCCACTTGTAAAGAAATCATCGTAAGCTCTTCTTATCTGAAGTTTGGATGAATTTCAAAAAAGATTATTAAAGTTACAGCTATATTTATACATGGATTAGATTTAACGTACTTGCACATAGATAACATAATTGAGCACTAATATTATTTGCCTACTTTCACAACTTTATGGAAGAGAATTGGTGTATATATGCCTCCAAGTATGACAGTTCATTTCAGTTTGTATGGCTGAGAAGAAATGAAGAAAATTCGTACATTTTTTTCCCGCTTATTTCATAAACAACTGTCAAAAATATAGTGACGATCTTGATCTTTTTAGTTCAGTCGTATATTTATAAATAAAAGGATGAAACGTACTTCTATTACTACAAATCATAATTGAGAATGTCAAGCATAAAATCTTTTCCCGAGTTTAACTTGGAAATTTATTATTTCCTGGAAAATATAGCAACTAACAAAGTTACGGAGGCCGACTATCATAATTCGCTTCAATATTATCCATATTTCTCGCCTAAAATACACACTGTTATGTTCGTTTGCGTTAGCTCCATTCATTATCTGCTCATTCAATTCACTTTTGTGCATTACTCTATGCTACTTTTTAATATTCAGTAGCCAGTTTTATTCTGATAATTTCTGAGCGCGCGGCAAGACAGTTGTCATTGTTGTGTAACATTCTTAAGTAATTACATCTACTGGTAAGATCAAGTACACCATTCTACTTTATAGTTTCTTTGTGTATAACAAGAACAATATTTACTTTTTAAGCGTGTACAGAAGATATTTAAAATTTACATTTAATCCTGAAGCAATTAATGATTATAAGTTGTTTAAGACATGAATATTTCCCAAAAAATATCCCTAATTATACAGAATGGTTAAATCGCTTCAGACAATTAGTCAGCTTGGACAATGGACTCACACTTAACCCGTCAAAATGTAAACTCTAGTCTGAGACATAAATAGCACTTACACACCCTGTTGGAATCCCATATTGCTTGTACTATTGTAAATTCTTTGATAGTGTTACGAGTTATTTACCTTGGTGTAAGTCTTTCTTCTGATCTATTTTGGTCTTCTCATGTTTTATTGTTATCGAAAAAAGTTTTCAATCTCACTTACTACATAGAGGAGATGCATGCTTTTGTGATTACTCAACATTTACGCTTACAATTTGTCGATTCTTGCATAGTACCTTTCATTCCCAAGCTTTTAAGAAAAGACTTTGCTGTATCGCGGAGTGCTGAGGGTAGTCAGCAGGGTGTGTAGTGAATCTTTTGGGGTCATTATTAATTTGGTTATGGACAGACGTCTTGCAAACTCCTGGTACTTATTATATTATCAGACAATAACCATCTCCTTTATTCATATCTTCTGGTAGAACGATACGTCAATACATTGGAATCCATGCACGCGAGCATAGGTATCTAGCATATGTACTATGTGACAAACAGGCTGTTAGAGTTGACCTAGTCAATGACATGAATTCTTAAACATGCTTCTAACTAAAAATGTTGTACAGACCCAAATATTCTTTATAAAATTATTTAATTCCAGGTAGTTTATTTACTTAAATTATGTATATATGTATGCAGTTATCAGTTTCGTTTTTTTTGTACAGGAAACTTGTTGAAATGCCTTGTGCTAATAATTCTTTATTGAGTAAAGCCATTAATAATAGTGATATGACTTTTCCTGTATATGATATTTTTATTATTTTGAGACGAGATAGATTAGATAAACTCCGTGAACAGTTGGGAACTTATCAAAGAAGTCTAGTTCACTGACCGCAAACAGACATCTTTCAATTGTTTTGTTGAAAGGAGTCATAACAGTAAGGTACAGACTAGTATTTTCCGGAAATCGACACATTCTAAAAGATATCTACATTATCTTCATTGGGTAACTACCTCACACCCGGCATGGTTGAACTCCACTGGTCACAGCTTCTCACTAGGACTCCGAGAATTACCTCTCGAAGCTAGTCATTAGTGGTTGCTTGATAACTTTCAGTTTGGGGTTGTGAATATAGTTGAATTTTGAGTCGACATATAAATTACATGTCAGCTAGCGTTAATACAAACGGTCATAGTATCCGAGAATTCAGTAGACGGAAATAATCATTATGTAAAGAAGTTGGGATAAATCTTATGATCTCTACACTCAGTACAACTGGTTATTCTACAACGTTTATATTAATCTTTCCGTACAGCAAAAATGAATCAGTGGGAATCAGAAGTCGAAGTGAACACGATATGAAGTTTTATTTTAGGACTAGTTATACTCTCAAATCCGTTTTAGTGCAAGTAAAATATGGAATGGCTATACAAGAACATAAATCGCTTTAGGAATTAGGCGCAGTGATAATACTGCTATACTCAGGTATTTAATACACAAACAGAACAAAAGTAAGTTCCATACTTAGACCATCCAGATCAGAGGACGGAACTCCAATAAAGATTAGTACATGGTTCCTCAATTCAAATAAGTGAGAGGTTTGAGAACAGAAGTCTCCATGGATGGAAGCCAAGTGACCAAAACAACTCAGCTTAAACTCGTGACCTGGATTTCCGGTCAAGTGATTTGTTTTCTGACTCAATTAAATAAGTCGAGAAAGAGTGAGAAATCTAGGTGCAATCGTGAACCTTTCATTGTCCCTTTGAGAAATATCATCAGGATATACTTCAAATAGATTATTCGTTAATAGGACTCAACTTTAATTGGCACGCAGGCTCCAGTCTGTTGGCTTATAAGAGATAAAGAAGTAATATCTCACACTAGTTTCATCCTATTTTGATGAAGTATTCTCATCTAACACGACCATTTGGGATCGGGCCGATCAATTATTAACTAACAAATAGAAAATACTGTCCCTAACTTTCGGCTCTATTTACTACTGTATATACCATCAACACTGTACTCCCGTTTAGTTGTTTAAACTTTTCAACAAATTCTTTTCAGATTCGACAATTATATATGTTAATTAATAAACCGAAAAGTGGCCAGGTTTAGGGTAAAGTCATTCGTCTAGAGTTATAGCATGTGAATTTAGGATTGTTAAACAAAATAAAGTTGTTAATGTTGAAATGACACATGAGTATCTAGTTTTAATTAACAGTATAGCACACAACCTGACTATTTTCAGTCAATAAGTTCAAATCCTCTAATGTACTTTTAGTTTGATGACGAGTAGAACGATCAAATTGACCTTAGTTATTTACTCATTGAAAGATTATAACAATAACATATACTACACACATTTGATCACATGATGTAAGTTGAATAAATTTCATGTTACATGACTCATTAATATATGAACATGTTTAGGACAGAACTGTTTGTGGCCTTATTTATCATTGAGGATTTTGACTACTTCTTGGCAAAGGTCAAACAACATTACCAGTTAGGTAGACATAAACAACAAGGAAAGTAGCACGAATCCACATTCGTTTAAGTAGCCAAACCAAATCAGAACAAGAAAAAACAAAGAATATCAAAATAGTAGGAACACTAGCAGTAGGAAAGATTAAGTATAGAAAACATGATTCGGGAAGAGACAAATAATTCTGTGAATAAAACAATTTTAATACTCAGGATCTCAGGGAAGACAAGGAATGCATTTGAACTGCATCACTCAATATATGTACATACACAGATCCCTTTTAGATACTCTGCTCTTACTAAAATACTTAGGATCAATAGTTAATGACTTGGTGTCAAGTGCTGGTTCGGACGTTCCTAACATTCTTCGTGGTATATTATGTAATATGCATCACAAAAACCTCATTCAAAGATTAGCAGCCTCATAAGCCGGTTTATCACCTTAACCTTGTACCTAATGCCTAATCTCACTACTGTCCGCTCAGTTGTCGCGATTTACGCGGGAAATGCTTTGATGACACATGATCAAATACGGATAACCTACGAGATTCCTGGGAGGAATGTTAATTAGTCACTGTTAATGACTGAAATGTTTTTAAAAATATAATCACTTCTTTATGTCCTCCATACATTTGATCCGCAACTGTTGCAAAAATTCTCCTCTGAAAACTGGACGATAATTCTCAAGTCCTAATAATGTATTGCAAAAATATAAACAATATTTTCGGTTTAAACGCAATGTCTATTACATGTGTTTACACGGAGTATCATATTTATATAATCAATAGTATATGCAACGTGTTCTATGCATTGGAATTTTGGCATCAATTTCATCGGCATGAGAACGTCGATAATTCCAAAGAAAATTATCCACCACAATTGAATTGCAACTAATATTTTTACTATTTAAGGACTTGACGATATTCTGAAAGAAGAAAATAGATACAATATTAACTGTGAAATATTCTTCGCAATAATTCTCACTTTCCAGAGACTCCATGGATTTTCTATTGTATAGTAAGGATACATGTATGAGAAATTCATCAAACAGGTTTAGTGAAAATAAATAAACATGTTATCAAAATAATTTGTCCAACTTTTTCGGACATTCTGGAATACATTCTACTTTATAATAGATATGTACCATGACAAAAGAATTAGCAACTGAATCTTTTCTGTTAAATTGAATGTCTAAAACACAGCTCGAGAGAAAAAACTTTGTGACAGAAAACTATTAGGGAATCACCTCTTTTAAAGACCAAGTGATAACAGGGTATTACTAATTCACCAAATGCATTTTTATCCACTTGATTTTCACGCTAGTATTACTACCTGATGGATTGAAAATAAGTAGAACGAGGTCTAAACTCATTGGGAGGCCAACTCTTTAGCCACTAAGACAGCATTTATGGAATTCGATACCCAATTTCAAAGGCACCTAATTGACCGAATACAGCTTTCTTAGTCAATGTCAAGCGTGAGAACAGGTTTAGTAAAAACAAGATCTTTCTTTGTTGCACTTCCTTATCTGGCTATAATGGGAACAAATAAAAAATCATGCAGTAACATGAAACTACAATCATCCCGTTAAAGTGTAGGTATATAAATTGTAGCCATGAATTGGTGCAAATAAAAATACCATACATACCAACTTTGCAAATTATCGGTCTTATATTACAACGAACAACCAGTAAATTGAAAACCGTTTATCAAGTGTACTGAGATATAAAATGATCACAGAAATATTATATAAATACTAACTCAAAAACTATCTTGCGGTAGGATAATTGATGACTGATATATATCATTTATGTGTCCATAAATGCAGTGTGATGTAAATGTGACTAGACATTCGACGTATAAATTGAACTAGACTGAATATAAGTGAATACCGGTAACTAGTAATTCAGTTTAAACAGAGAATATCAACCCTATTTCTAAACAGTGCATCATTTTATTTTACAGCTACTCCTCCAAGATTAACAAGTCTAAAAATATGGAAACATCTCCCTAAAACATTGAAATAGCAATTCTAATTTGATAAAATCGGTAGTTACCTTAGGATGATTTCAGAATTTTACCTTAATATTACATACATTGTTTATCAAAAAAATTGGGAATCACTTACATGCACAGCTAGTATTGTCGCTGCTCGAATTTCAACTTCTAATTCGCTTCCATTTGCAATTTCTTCACCTAGATGAAGAATACATAAGTAGCTCAAACAACTGTTTACTGCTTTTTTTAGGATATTTCAAAATATAAGTTAAAAACTGTACGGTTAAGAGGAAATTAGGATTCAATCCGTCACGGTTGAAGTTCGACGACATCGATGTGACAAAAACAACACACGGAATGCGTTTGCAAATTTTAGTTTAGTTGATGCCAAAAGATATGGGATTTTAATGAGGTCTGATACTAGTCACCAACATTTACTGCTTGATTTCATTTGATGACACGATTTTCCACTGCAATTTCATTGAAGCCATAGAAAATATGTATGAACACACTGACCTTTGTCTAACAAAGAATGACTTCATAAAAGCTTTTACTAATATCTACAAAAGATGTGCAATTCCCATTCAACAACGCCTCATAACGTCAAGTTGATCCAGTTGCTATGGGGAGTCTATTAGGTTCAATAGTGGAAGATATATTAATGACCAACTTGGAACAGAAAAGCAAAATGATAATTAACAAGGAAGCTCTGTATGTCAAGAATGTTAATAATACATTCGTTCGCCGCAATCGTTACAAACGTGCGGAATCTTCTTAACCATGTACATTCAAATATGCGATTTACAATGAAGCATGAGCAGGACAATAAGTTTCATTTTTTTAACCTTGATATCCAACGTCGTGAAAATGGTTAAATTCAAAGACTTACTCATATAAAGGACACACTGAATGGACTTTATTTGAATTTTAATAACTTCTGTTCAATAATTTAAAAAGGAACGTTTTTGTTTGTGACAACAATGAAACCACTGTAATTGCTTGATTACTGTTGTCTCAGTAATTTAGTTGGTGAACCGCTTTACAATCGAACACACTGGACTGAAAAATCAAGTATGCAACGTAACGTGTCTAAAAATAAGTACTAACAATTAAGTCTAAATGCAATAGATTTAAAGCAGATAAAGATACAAAAAATTATTATAAACACGATTCACAACTATATAAAAAAATACCGTTGCGTATCCTTTTTGTTAAATCCTCACTGTATTCTATAGCACCAAAATAATATAACACTTGTGGAACTCTAAATGATATTTTGTACGTAGGGAAAGCTGGTACCTGTAATCGGCAAACGCAGTAATCTCATCTATATCGTGGAAATACCCAAACCCTTTGCCCTCAAAACAGTACCATAAATCACCAATCAAGATCTGAGCACGTTTTAAGAATGACACTGAAAAGATAAAGGAACGAAAATAAATACCGTGTTTTCCTTTGTATATACTATAGTCGCGGAAAGAAGGGAAATAATCACACAATAACTTTAGAAGCTTTGCCGCAGAATTTTCACACGAGGACAGAGCATTTTTAAATGACCCATCGAAATTCTCAAGTAAAGTTTTCCCAGCACACCTCAGAGCATTTAATCTCTCATCAAATAATGGTATAGGCTCAGCTGTATGTGAACGAAATATGTGTCTCAATTGCTCCTCTGTCACAGTTTGATATACTTCAGGATTTAACAAGTTTACCCCTTCCTAAAGACACAAACGATTAAAGTTCCTCGACTTACATCGATAGCTCGGTTAACTGCTGCACAGAGGGCCCAATAGCCCGTATAAATTTTGTTGCAATATAACACTTCAAAACTATCCTGACTCTTACTCCAAAATGAAAAATTGAGTAAGGAAGTCACAAATATCCTAGATGGCCCCAGATATTAATATGGTAAAAATTACCATTCAATTGATCGTTCGTCAGCAACACTAGGGGTTAGTTCCTGATTGATCCAAGACTTCAAATCAAATGGGCAATACTTCTCGCATACCTTAATCACTTATCATAATACTATTTTAACTTAACCATTCCCACTAAACGTTGAATGTTCTCCATGTTAATGCACACGTGTTCGGCATTTCGTATTACAAACAACGATGAGGAAAGAGGTGCCAAATATTCCATGATACAGATACAGACTGCTAGGCTAAAAAGAGATATTTGAGCGCATCGGTGCATTAATATCATACAAATTAATAAAGGTAGGAGTAAAATAACAACACAATTCGACTAGGAAGCAATGTAAAACACTTTAGTGATCACAAAAGTTTAAGCTTAATTCTTTAGTTGAACAATGACCTTAGCTTAGTACGGACATTTACTCCTCAAGAAGTATTAGTGTTTCCCAAGTGCCACAACAGAAGTTATTGTAAGAGATTAATTACAGATGTATGGTACTTACGAAAATGAGGTCCCATAGTCGCCAGTGACAACTATTGAGTCCAGATGGCTTGAGTAATAAAAACGAGTGACGAGATAACTCTAAGTAGATGAACGAATCAAGTACAGTTACAATCATCACTAGATAAAGTGAATATGAAAGAACAAACTCCTAGATTACGACAAATGGTTTGAAAACTATGAGGGGCTTAAGTCTTCACATGTAAATGTGAGCGAGACTGTAATTTATAGACGATCCAATCAGACTTAGCATGAGAGGTCTCACACTTTTCCGCGAAATTCATTCGCACATTTGACTAAATAAGGGGTCGGCATTTTAGCCGATCTAATGACTAAACCTAACTAGCAGTTGTAAATCATAGCCTCTATCCTTCACGCTGATTTATAACCCTCATTTATCCCTAAAATAGTAGGTGGACACTCTCAATGTCACTTCAGCGTCGCAAAAAGATCGTCCAAAAATTAGTCTCGTCTATAATACTACCAAGCCTTCCAACTTTCAGAAATTTTGATTAACATTTTACGAACGTTTTGGAAATACGCAACTACAACGCTGAAAACTCTTACAGGTTTGGGATTTTTGTTCAAATTTTCTCAGATCTCGGAACTTCTTAAGACAATATATTTTCAGGTTGCGGAATCCAGCTAGAAATATTTAGCATGTTAAAACAGGTCGGTAAACTTTAGGAGCTTAGTCCAGACATAAATACAGTGAGTCCAGATGTAAGTATCTATAGATATTGTTGATTCGGCGGTATGAAGTGATATAATATCGTACCTTTATTACGTGTTAGAGCACCTATTCCAATGATGAAACTGATGCAGTTCACGAACAAAGAGCATCATACGGAATACTGAGTAAACAGAAGACGAAATAAAAAAGCATTTCGGCATGACAGAACCTTGTTAACCACAGAAACTATGCATATGGACGAGGAAAACCGATTTTTACGCCATGCTCATCGACACAAATAAGTACATTAAATCCGCGCGTTAACGCGGACACAATTATATCCTTTGTTAGTTTGAGACGAAGACTCCAACTATTCATAAAAATATTCTGCATTTAAGTTTAAAAATCTACCCACCACAATGATATTTTGATTAAAAACTATTTTTTAACTGTTCAGTTCGCTGTGAGAAGCCTGTTAAAAAATAACAAGCAAGTTAACATTAGCACTAAAAAGAGCCAGTTGAACTATGTGGAACGATCTGTGTGATTTCTAGACATTAATATACAGCCAAAGTATGACAATAGTAAAAACATTTGAAGACCCACATGAATACCCAACTACGAAAACTCCTTGCAATACACGAAACCCGCCGTGACGTTTTACTGATCAAGGTCGTTCAAACGAATGTTAAATGGTTCAAATGGTTGTGGACGGAATAGAAGAAGCTTTCGCTTAACAGGCTTCCGTGTCTAGTAGCAGGGGATCACCAAATCCTCTAGGCAGGAACCTAGGTATATTAACAATAAAAACGGAAAAGAAATTGGTAAATCATAGTGTGATGCTGTCCTTGGTCCTTAAGAATAGGTCAAGTTGCCACTCGAAGGACTCCTGAGAAGTCGCTTGGACTAGCTCGGCTGGCAGCGAATTCCAGATTTTGACAACTCTTAAGGAGTAGAAGTTGTGTCTACATTCCGTCTTGCTATGTTGTGTTTCCAGTTTCTGGGTGTTACTCCTTAGGTTATTATTCAAACTAAGCTTAAGTAGGGGTTTCAGAGGATGTCCAGAAGTGTTAAGAATACTATAAGCCATTAATAAATCACCTCTAAGACGCCTATACTCTAGTAGGTAAAGGTCTAGTGACCGGAGGCGTTCTTCGTAAGGTTTAGATTTGAGTCCTCGAACTGATTTCGTGGCTCGCCGTTGGATACGCTCCAAAGTGACCTTGTCCTTTGGAGTGAGGGGGGAGTACTATGTTTCCGTACTCTAAATGGGGACGGATGAAACTATTGAAGATTGTATGGAAAGTTCTTCCGTCAAACTGACCAAAAATGCGCCTCAACGTTACCAGTGCAAGGTTTGCTCGGAAGGCATTTTTGTCACAGTTAGCGTAAGACTTTAAGTCATGGGGCACCAGGACTCCTAAATCTTTTTCGACTTGGGATACTACTAGAGAGGAGTTTCCTAAGTTGTAACTGTAGTTTGCGACATGTCGCAGATGGACTACTTTACACTTAGAAGTGTTAAAGGTAAGTCCGTTATCGTCTGCCCAACTATGAAGTCGAGTCAGATCCTCTTGAAGTGCCTGTATATCGTCTTGGTTGCGTATCTCTCTCCAAAGTTTCACGTCGTCGGCAAAAAGTAATAAGTCTGACGTTACCTGTTGAGGAAGATCATTTATGTAGATCAAGAAGAGAAGAGGCCCTAGTACTGAGCCCTGGGGGACCCCACTAGGACATTCCATAGCTTGAGATAAAGTGAAATTAACCCTAACCTTAAAGTGTCGATTTTTTAAGTATGAAGTAAGCCAATCGATTAGAGGTGGTTTGATACCTAGTCGTTTGAGCTTGTTGATAAGACACAAGTGGTTAACCTTATCAAAAGCTTTTGAGAAATCAAGGTAAATGATATCGACCTTTCCCTTGCGATCGAGGATGCTTGTCCATCTGTCAACCGCAGATAGTAAAACGAATCTCCTGCTGCTACATTTCATATTGAAGACATCCTGTCGTTTATTATGTGAACCATATTATTGAATAGTATCTCTATTCTTTCGTGATATTTATCGTTCGACGGTTTGGCATAAAATTTGTCTTCTATGTTCTAAAACGATTGAAGTGAGAATTTTGAAGATTCATCAGCCTAATAGTATAAGAAAATGAGTTCTGAAGGCGGTTGGAAATTACGTCCTCAATTTGTCTGGTTCTCTCTTTCTGCCAAAGATATCACGTACACAATTGCTTAGCAACGTTATTTTCCATGACAGCCTCATAATCGGACGATCACTAACCTAGTAAACCAGGGGTCGAAAGGGAAAGAATTCGACCACATGTATCTGTAAGGTACCCCACACGTAGTTTCACTAGTTACACGATAGCTAAAAGCACTCGGTTCATCATGTTCACCACATCGTCATTGCTTACTCCGTGCCACGCAACACTCACGAAAACTACCAATCTTCGATCAAGCACCTCACGACATATCACTCTCAGTTTAAAAAGGACAGGAGTCTAGGTGTCCTGTGTTAGCCCTAGCTATCGTGATCTTTTAGTTTATCTGACTTTCTTTTGAAAGCGTCCACTGATAGAGCTTCAGTTACGTGTTGAGGCAATGAATTCGATGGGAAAGTCGACAGTCAGGTGACATGTGATTTGTTCTGCACATGTGAGCAATTTTATATTGTTCTTGTAAATCCTCTAATTTGACGGACAATAAACGTAAAGGCATATCAAATACAAATTTATAACTAAGTAATTTAAAAACTGTGATCTAGTTACCTCTGGTTCTTCTACATGTTCTAGATCACCAAGGTGGATGATCTATGTCGAATGATTGGAAGGCACCACCGCATGGGCCAGTTCACGGCATACGATTAACTGATGCGCGTTGTTCGCCCTTCACATTGACAGGAATAGACGATCTGTTCGATATTCAGTGACTCAAATGCCGAATGATTTGTCTAGGGCTCAGTGACATTTCACTGGCCTTACAAATATATGCAACTGAGAAACACGTCGGCCTGGATTAAACTTCGTTTTCTTATTATGGTAAACATGAATATGAAACTTGATTAAAAAAGATTGACTGTATAGATTTTAAATTTTCATAATTGCATAGGGAATTCTTTAGTCATCTGAGATTAAAATATTTTTCAGTATATTCTTTTACATCTCATGTATGTAGCGAACAGTATCTCACACATTAGAGGATTATTATCTTGGATTTATATTTCGTTCTTATTTTTAGATATTAAATTTTAACCAAATAGGTTACATTAACGCGAAAGACTTATATCACCAACAAAGTTGACGAAGATTATCAGAATTATGTGGTATAATTGAGCAATACATTTCGAACAATCTGATCACACATAACAAACTTGTTAAGATATTTCATATGAAAAATATAAGGTCGACTAGAAATGGTTTAAACATCGACATGGCTAAAGGTTCTACGTATTGATCATGAAGTTTTGAAACCATTGACGTCTATCGCACAGCAGTTTGCACTAGCTTTGAAGTCCTGGGTAACGATGGCTTCTTAGTGAATGTGTGTCTGAACAACGAGTACCACACTGTTATTCACCGTATATGTGTCTGTAACTTGGCGACCAACATGCATCGTAATGCACTTGGGAGCATTTATCGGCAACTGCCTAGTTTTGAACAATTCGGATGATTTCACCTTGTCATTTTGAGGCTCTAAACTATTACACTGACCTTTTATCACTCTTCTTGTTTTGACATCGTGAGAATATAAAAAATCGGTGATGATAGTAGCCTAGAAAGGTCATTTACACACAGGAGGAACAACACTGACCTTAAGACTGTACCATGAGGCATTCCGCTAGACACACTTTCCTAGATAGACAACTTTGTGTTTACCCATTTACTTCGATGACGCTTCTTATCCACATAAATAAATTGCCTCCAATCCCGATTTTACTTGACTCATATGACAGCTGATTCTGAGTAACTTCGTCAAGAGCCTTGCCGAAGTGAACATTGGCTAGACCCATAGGAAAACTTTGATATTTAACAGAGCAACAACTTTCACGGGGCTACTATTAAGTTGGTAATACATAAAAACATGTTCTCAAGCCGTGCTGCCTCTCAAGAATATCCGGTTTCCATAGAGATACTTAAACAATTCCTTCCAAATGATCTTTTCTAAAATATTTACAACCACGCTAGTTAGACTTACGTGAAGCTTTTGCCGTAATTCTGGGTCTCACTGAACAGAAGATTAGCAGTTTATTTTCGCAGTTAGTGTATCACTACGCTTGTTCGTTGCTTTACAAATTAATTAAAACCAACTTTGCGAAAATCAGAGAACGGAGCAGTAAACGAGAAAATCACATTACCTCCTACGAGTAAATTCTACCAACTACGTCTAGTAAAGAAGCGGACGACATAGAAGCCGTATATAACAGTGCATACATGTTTGCTAACAAGTGGTTATAGGATATGGTGTTTGTCTGCACAGATTTTCCGAACGGCAACCTGCAAGATTAATTTTTCTTGCTTGTGACACACACCGCTTGATAAAGCAAGAACGCAGTAGATTACCTAAAAGTATAGTACTAACTTCACATGAAATATGTTCAAAGTACAACTTACTCAGTATACTTGAACAGTTCTAGTAAATGAACTGTACGTCTAGCTCAACATCCAAAACCAGGTACAGCTGAATTGTAAAAATATTAGTTACAAATGTATGGCGGACTACAAAATCAGTTACTTGTCAGACAATAACGATATTTCTGCAAAGCGAAACTCATGGTTCTATTCTACGCGACAGTTTAATCCACAGAAAGGTGAATGATCAGATCTGCGAGACAAACAGTAAAGAAAGTGTTAATTATAAATGAATAATATATTTGTATTATCCCAATGAGTAGAAAAATGAGATTTTCTGACGTTTCATGACTTGGTGTGGGCCACTTCTTCAGAGAATAAATAATGAAAATCAAATTTTTCTACTTATTGGGATATTATAAATGTATTATTTATACATAACAATCTACCCAACGCTCAGTTTATTCAAATTATTAAATCGAACCTTGATAATGTTAACTACAAAGTGTTAATTGTCGTAAACACCAACTTCTTGTTATATTAATGAGTGTTTCTAACAAACGAGAAGTGTACTTCAATCCAGAAATCTAAGAATTCAGACCAGTCAATCCAAGTAAGTGCAATCGAAGATTGACAAATCAGTACGACGGGCAACATCCTAAAAGATCAGGTGAAACAAAATTGCCACTAAAGATGCCATAGGAATTCGGAGTTTGACAACGCCTTTACAATTAACACCTTTATGATCGACGGATACCAACCCAGTCAGATCACAAATCGTGAATGAAGGAAGTCTCAAGATGTAGTTGGAAAGTTATCGATTTTTTTGAGGAGCGTTTGGTCTAAACTGGCTAGTAGTTGCAAAGAATGCGTAGCATGAGAAACCCACTCGTAGTTTGGTACTGATGAGCGACCGAGCGCCTTCAGATAGTTGTGTCCAGTAATACTAATGAGATAAGCATCAAATGTCATAGACGTACAGAACTATATCTTTTAGTGATTTATTTGCCGCCACACTACCAACCAAAGAACACATAAGTGGGAATAATACGATGGAAGAAACATAACTGCAAACAAATGTTAATATTAAGCTTGTCGTAG